ACTACTACTACTACTACTACTACTACTACTACTACTACTACTACTACTACTACTACTGCTACTACTACTAATGATAATAGCCACTAACCACTCGGGACTTGAACATCTCCACATATCAGTTTCTAATCTTTTTTTCAGAGGGAATAAGCATCTATTGTTTTAAGTTTCAGATGTTTAAGAGAACTCAATTTTCTTTAACTTAATTTAACATTGCAAATGTTTTCGAGACCATTTTCAGAGAGTCTGGCAAAAAATGTCGATCTTTATTAGGGACAGGTCAAAAAATATTGGGAGAAGGGGTGGGACATGAGTTTTTGGGCCCTTGGTAAGGGGTGGGTCGTTCAATTTTCAGCTACTCATGCAGGTGGGTCATCCTGTTTTATAACAGGAATTGGCCCATATTTGACACAATCGACAAAAAAGGTAACTCCGTCCAGTTCCAAAGGACGGAAAATTTTCGAGCCGTAGCTGAAAAAGTACACGTGGCTGGTGTATAATAGAGATGGCAACTTCATGTATTGTAAAATTTGTACGAAAGCTAAGTCTAAGTCTAACGGGAGTCCCAGGCAAAAATTTTCAAAATACTGCGCTCTTTCGGTCTTGCTAGTATTCAAGAATGCCAAATGGCCAACTTGTTTCTACATNAAAGCTAAGTCTAAGTCTAACGGGAGTCCCAGGCAAAAATTTTCAAAATACTGCGCTCTTGCGGTCTTGCTAGTATTCAAGAATGCCAAATGGCCAACTTGTTTCTACATGCTATTTGTCCCCGTGCATACGGGACACATGTTCATCGGATCTGGGACTCACACTCTTGGGCCTGGAGCTCGTATTTTATTGGCTGTGTGAGTCCAGGACTCACTACAGCCTTTTTTAAGGTGGATCACTGTTCCACTGGTAGCGAGGCTAAAAGGCAAAGTGTGAAAGGCTTACAGTGAAGTTTTTTTTAGTGTTTTACGGACATGACCTTAAGTTACAAAAGTAAAGGAAAACATTATTTTTAGATGGTTTTGTATTATTAAGATGAAAATCTAAAACGTAAATAATATTACAGTTTCATACAGAGGATATGATTTTGTTGGATTATGCAACCAAAAATGTCATATTTTATAGGGAGTGGCTCATGTAATTTTAACCACCATTTAAGGGTTGATCACTCAGTGTTGTGCCAAATGGAAGGGGTGGGTCATGTGTTTTCTAACCACCACATTTTCAAATGCTCCGGCCCACCCCACCCAACCCCCTCCCCACCCCCTGTACTTTTTAACCAGTCCCTTAAAGTGTTAATTTCTGTAACCCGTAACCCGTAACCCGTAAAGCATTGACCGACATTTCTTAAAACAATTGTTAAATATTTTCGTGTACAATGTAGGTTATTGTTTTACTTTTTCATCACAACAGCAGTTTCCGAGATTAACGTTGTACGTTCGCTCGGTCTTGTTTTGACGAAAAAACTGACCTGTGGTCGGGGCTACCGTGTTACCCATCGTCATAGTGGTCGTAGTAGCAGCAATGGCAGGTACAAACGTTACTTTTTGGAAGCCTCTATTCGCTTGCTCATGGTTTCGAATGATGTCAATTGTAGGATGAAAAGCCCATATAAGGTAAACTGGTACTCCCAGCTAAAACATGGAAAAATTAAAGAACAATGAACGAAGTAGTCACGAAACTTCAATCAAGACAATGCTGTTGATTATCTTCTGATTAATCGATCAGATCTCTAGTTTTTAAATGGAATGCAACGAACATTTGTCCGTTTCGCAGTCTGAACAATTGAAGAGTTGAGTTTAAGGTCATTCCCCAGTATTGCATTGCGCATCCCCACTGCGCATAATTTCACGCGTGATTAGCGCGCGC